CCTCAGTTCTTCCCAAACACCATGTAAATAAGCCCTTAGCAACAGCCCTCTTCTAAACATCAAGCATGAAGGACTTACTATCCTTCTGTAGAAGGTGTGATAAGAATGTGCATCAGTTCTCAAACTAGTTTTCTCAAAACTGGTTTTTCTTGGGGAGATATTCAGAAGAAACAGGGGGCATAGTCCCATAAGTGGAGAAAAGGGCAGGGTTGCTTTGTCTTCTGTTTTTACTGTTAAAGAGGTTTCCCGAACTGCAGGGCTTTTCTGAGTCATGAATTATGACTCTCTCTCTCTCCTGAGAGGGGCGCTGTGTGCATTTCCCACACATATTTGACTACAAACATTTGGGGGAAGTATTATGTCTGCTGATACAGGAATAACGTTCCACGGAAAGAGAGGCAGGCATTCAACACCGCACAAGGCAGTGATCCAAATGATTGCATTACCACACTGAATTATTATGCAGCAAGAGAAAAGGATAACATGTAAGTTCTTACTTTAAGTTATCATACTATAATCTATATCTAAAGGAGTTAACACATTCTGTTCATTTCTCATGATCTAGAACTAAATAGCAAGCATTTTGTGGTAACTCTATACAGAGACAGTCTTCAGTGGCTAAGAAATTCTTACTGTCCAGTATCTAAGTCTAAATCAAAGACACTGATAATACAGAACCTACACGTTATTATCTCTACACCAGAGCTCTAATCTCTCTACAACCTGAACTTAGGTAATTTTATATTAAGTAAGTATCTTTCTTCTAGGTTAATCATCAACCAAGAAATTGTAGTTGTGAATACAAGCTTATCTGTATAAGTTGTAATATTGATTCTTTTGAAATTCAAAACTAATTCCTATATGGGAGGTAGAGGGAGAATATGGTACTTTATGTGAGGTCCAAAACAGTTACACCTCAGTAATGACACAACAATCTCCTTATAATCTCCCTTTCCTGGAAAAGCTTCAAACTGGGAGGCCTTTAATCTGTTCATTACAGCTCATATGAAATTCATGTCGTTTCTCAGCACTATAAGTAATTCAAACAAAATGATTTTTAGCTAGTTTTATTGACTTCTGTAAGAAAAGTATCTTAATACACACAATATATCAAATGGAAAAGAGAGTTTTGCTGGTGCCCAACAGGTTCTGAATCACTTGTTTCTCTGCATCTCATCTGAAACCTAAGTCTGTCTCTTCTCCGAACAATGCTATACACCTCAGTACACCTAATGAACATAATATATTGTCCTTTATAACAACATATTTAGTCCAAAGAGATCTATTTTTTTTTCACATTTCACAAGGGTTCTTCCCAAACACCATGTAAGCCCTTAGCAACAGCCCTCTTCTAAACATCAAGCAGGAAGGACTTACTATGCTTCTGTAGAAGGTGCAATATGAGCTTTTCCAGGAAAGCAGGTTACTTGGCTTCAGCTATTATCATTGATTAGAGAACCTGAAGCTCAATTCTTCAGAAAAGGTTATCAGAAGAAATAAACCTTGATCAAAGGCCATTAAAAATACCTCCCTAGCTTCTGGTCACTTCCGTAGCCAATGTAAAATTTCCTGTTTCCAAGAATCTTAAGGTTTACTTGTCCCACCAGAGTCACTGTATCCTAATTTGTGTGAAGAAGTCAGAAGATGAAAACCACTGAGCAGATGGTGAAGGGAGAGAAGCAGCAACATGAGCAAACAAGAGAGAACTGCAAAGTGCACAAACCAGGAGAGAAGCCCGTGCTGAGGCAGACACAAGCAAGAAGCAAGAGCGAGCACATCCAACTGGCCAAAAGTGAGTCAGCGTCCTTCCTACCTTGAGTTTGTCCACCCCAACTACCACTGACCCTTCTGGGCTCCAGGCCTGCTTTACCAGGTGAAAGGGCACCTGACAGCGGATGCCATTTCCCCTCCACAAACACGTAAAGACCCACACGTAATGCTCCTCACCTCCTGGTCTGTAAACAACATCGTCCTCAGTGATGTAAGAGGTTATCTCGCCAGTGTCTGTCCTTTCATAGCGAGATTTTTTTTTCGGTGGTTTCTTTTTGTTCTTCTTCGTGGACTCCTCTGTGGTGGCACTATTGTTGTCATTGTCCTCATCTTCGCTGTGATCACTCTCAGCATAATTTTTGGCTCCTCCTTCCAAGGTACAGCTCCTGCGTGGCCTTGAATTCTCACTCTCTCTTACTTTGTCTCTTTTATCTCTCTCTCGGTCCCGATCTCGGTCCCGGTCCTTCTCTTTGTCTTTGTCTTTGTCTTTGTCTGCTGTCATGATTCGCCACGTGCCTTCTTCTGTCCTCTCACGGCTAGGCCTCCGTGAAAGGTAGACAGTAAGCCTGGGCTTCAGTCTTCTGAATTTCTCACTCAATTCCAGGGAAAATCCAACCACTCCAACAACCCCAACGTTTCAAAAATGCTAAGAGAAAAAAAGAGAGAAATTGATTTTACTTTATCACTTCCTCATATTTTTCCCCTGAAATGTTTTTTAAAAATATATTTTTATTTATTTCAGTGAGGAAAGGAGAGGGAGAGAGATAGAAACATCAATATGAGAATCATTGATCGGCTGCCTCCTGCACGCCCCCTACTGGGGATCTAGCCCACAACCCAGGCATGTGCCCTTGACCGGAATCGAACCTATAACCCTTCAGTCCGCAGGCTGATGCTCTATCCACTGAGGCAAACCAGCTAGGGCTCCCTGAAATGTCTTGTTTAATAAATCTCTTATTCATACTTTAGCCCTAAAAACTTCTCATGAGCCATAAGGGGGAAAAAGAGTACAAGTGATAAAAATTTTTAATTATATATAATTTTGGCCTCAGCCTCAGCTAGTATATGGTTTGGGATTTTCTACAACAGCAATAATGAAAAATGTCTGAATGTATAAGATGAACTATACTTTCTAGATACCAGTTGTTTCTCCTTTTTAAGGAAAAAGTGTACCTTAATAGACAACATATAATGGGTACAATTATATAAAAGGCACCTCATAGCCATAAAATTAATTTAAAAGGTAAAGAACCTATACTAAAAATTATTTCCACCCAAAAAACAAAATTTGGATAGCCTTAGAAAATGTCCAAAGTGTTACAAACTTCTGATGACTCTTTCTATCCACTTCTCCAAATTTCCAGATTTCCTCCCAACAATAAACATAAGATTTCCAGAGTGCCTTCCAACAACAATAACCATAAGAGTTGACTCAAATAAAATGACAACTTCAAAACAAGATCCCTTTGCCTTCTATTACAACTGTTCACATCTTCTAAGTCTACTATTCTAGTTATTTTCCAAGAAAAGTGGTTTCTCTAAAGATATATTATCTCTGCCTTCACCAAACATAACAGCTCCCCAAAATAACCTCTATCATTAGGGACTATTAGATGGTTATTACATTCTTCTAAATTTCCACTATTAATAGCTTCCCTAATAAATTCCTCCCTAGAACTAAACCCAACAGAAAAGTGTGAAGTTAAGGATTTAAAATGAGAAGAGTGAATACCAAACTTCAACCCAATACAATTCTAATAAAAATTTCATAGGAGGGAAAAAAATGTTTTGTTTACAAATCAGTTTGGAACAGACATAATAATTAGTAATTTATCTTTTGTAATTTTTTATCATCTTCCCCAATATCTTATCTAATGTGTTCAACACCCTGTACCAAACATTATCTATGTGCCAGGTGTTAGGAACTAAAGATACAATGAGGGGAAAACTCAGAATCCTTGCCTTCAATGCTCTATTGGAAAAAAAAATAAAATAAAGGAGACAACTGATCAATATGAGAACCATCTGTTTCTCATGTTATTAGGGTCAGATAAAAAACATATGCAAACAAAAGATTGGTCCTCTTTACTTTGACAACAACAAACAAAGCCATTTGCAATTATATGCTCAGAAGCAGAGAAAATTCTCATTGGTCATGTCAAAATCATAAAAATTATCATATACTTTTTCCAAATTATCATATACTTTTATCAGGTATTTAGTCTAATACCAGAAAAAAACATCACTTTAAAAACACTTCAAATCCCCCTTGGCATTCAGGAAAATAAAATATGTTAAGAACCATCTTTGGGAGATAGACTAATGAAGCAATAACGCTGACATTCTATGACCAAAGTCAGAAAGATGAAACATGTAGCACAAACCAAGAATACTTCCTTCTCCATAGGAAATATGCTTTCAGATAGTTCTTTCAAATTTTTAAATATATTTCAAGAAAAATTATTCTAGGGCCTGCAAAACTTCTGCCTAGATAAATCATCTGTTAAACAGACAGTAATAAACTCCCAAATCCCTGTAAACCACTGGTGATAGCAACTGAAAATACAGAAACATATTATTTTCTCTATCAGGCTTAAGTTCAGAGCTTAAGTTATGAACAAGCCAATCATGCAAGAAAGAAAACTATCAGCTGACACTGTTGTTAAAACATTCCTCTGACATTGAAAAGGTACCCAGGTCTACCAGCAGTCCAAAAAGAGCAAGCTTAGACTGAAAACCTCTTGGATGCAATACAGACTTCTGATAAATTTAAGAAAAAGATCACTCTTCCTAAGGTAAATAAGATAACTGCTCCAGAAAATTTTGTAAAAATGTTATTTTAGCACTCAAACAGAAAGAAATCCAAATTTGTACTCAACAGTACTCCCTACAAAATCATATATTGTGTTTCTATTTACAAAGAAATCAGAGTCGTTTCTGCCAAGAGTGAGTTAGAAAGAAAAATTTAAGAAACAATAGAGAAGGTGTCAACAAAATGTGTGTGTGTGTCTCCCCAACTTTCAGATAACTAAGAACAGTGATATTCCAACGCAAAAGTGAATCTAATTACCATTTACATTTGACTCTAATATATAGCTTGGTGAGGATATAAATATTTTTCCTCTGCGTTTCTTATAGCATTATAATTTTTTCTGAGCCTCATTATACAATGACCAACATACAATATTAATGTGACATTTGATAAAGGGACCCAGAGAGGAACCAGATGGCACTGAGAAAGGCAGTCGTCACCTCAATTTACTAGAAATTATCTACAAAGTAGACAATACAACAGCATCTTTGTAACAACTAGGAGTTTACAGATCCCTACCTTAATCCCATTTAATCCTTTCTCTCAACAAGTCAATAAACTGAACCAAACAGAAGTCACCATGCCCACTTTACAGACCACAGAAGGAAAACTAAGAAGATACTATCTGCACACGAACACACAGCCAATGAAAGGTTCTAAGGCAGTTCTTCTAAAGGTGAACCGCATCTGACTGATTCCTACCTGCTGCTCAGGTTATAACCGGTACTGCCACGGTCATTAGCTCTTCATAGGTACCACCTTTCCCCACATGTATCCATGCTGATAATTTGAACAGACAGATTTAGAAACAACACCAACTTGGCCCTCTCCTCCCAAGAAAGAAAGCAGTTTTCTCCCACATCCTGGGAAAGAAAATGTAATGACTTTCGCTCTGGAAAGGGAACTGTCACTCTAACACTTGTACTCACTGGATGAGCAGCAGTCGTTCTCCTAAACAGCACCCTGCGGCAGGGAATACAGCAAACTATGCCCGAGAATCACTGAAAAGTGGGGTCAGCAGGTCTGTAAACCCTCGGAGAGGGAAGATGGGGTTTTATCTGAAACTGCGTGGTGGCGAGAATCATTCTTTCATGTAAAAATAAATGGATTGTGAAGTTCTTCCACCTGACAAAACCCAACCTCGTAAGCAAATGGCTGTGTGCGCCCTCCAATGGCTCTCCACATTTAGGGTTAAGGACTATGTAAACTCAACCAATCCTGAGTTTATATACGCATTCCCAGAACACGTGTCTTACTGAAAGTACCTCACAACCAAGATGGAATGAGCTAGCCAAATTCAGAGAGTGGCCTTTGTGGTATCAAAACAGAAGCACAGAATGAATGCCCCTTAGTCAGAAGTGGGTTTACGCTTACAGTAAGTAGCACTTTCTCAACTCCCTGAGTCGCTTTGGGGGAAAACTGAGAGAACTCAGGTTGGTGGACTCTGACAAATCTCTTAATTTCTCCAAAAAGACATAATAACAAAACACGGGACCTGCAAAAGGTGGAAGTACCCAAAAGAGCAAAACTCTAGGTTACAATTAACAACCTAAAATTAAATAACAAAAATACATAATCTTTTTATTTGAAGTAGGCATAAGGAATTACCAAAGGTGCCGAAGGAAATTTTAAAAATAAAAATACAAAGTCCTTCCTTTCTTTAATGAACACACACACTCATCAATACAAGCAATTGCTTCCCCATACTGTTGAAGGTGAAGTTTTTGCCAATCCCATACAGAATTTTTTACTTTTTGCACATTGCCTACAGTTGTGTCTCTTCTACTCAGTGGATGAAGGAAACCAGGGCTTCTCAACTATGGTGCAATGAACATTTTGGACCACATTGGGGTGGGGGTGGGGTGGCGCCTGCCCTGTGCATGATCCTTGTTCTCTCTCCATGTAAATTCAGTAGCTCAACCTGCTTGCTCCCATCAGGACAACAGAATATATATCTCCAAATATTGCCACATGTCCTCTGGGGAGCAAAATGGCTCACAGTTGAGAACCAGTACTTTACACAAAATCGTCAATCACAGGGATTTCAAAAGGTTAAGCATCTGTGTTTATTCAAAATTGTGCTTGACCAATATGGAATCCATAAAGCTAACACCACTACAAAAATTACGTAGCATGTTCTTTGTTCTCTGAAATAAACTGGACTAATTAAAAAACACTGCCTGAAATAGTAATTACACAGATGTATGAAGCTGAATTTGGAAAACAAATGTAAATATCCTGAAAATCTTGATGCTTCCTGGCAAGCCCTGAAGGTAATATCACTCACTGGTGACCTGCTCTGGTCATGGGCCAAGTGGGAGCTTCTGTTATCACAAAACTAAAGAGAAAACCTGGTGTCCGCAATGCTAAGTACAGGGAAACCAAAAGCCTATGAACCAAATCCCTCATGTGAAAGGGGATAGAATTCCTAATCTCACTTTCCCAAAATAGGGCCGTAAATAGAAAACCAAGAGTAGGAAAAAAATAAATACAAAAACCAAACAGATGGATAAATAACAGATGGTATATCCATACAATAAAATGTTATTCAGCAATAAAAAGAAAGAAAATACTAATGTTACAACCTGGCTGAAATTGGAAAATGTGCTATGTGAAAAAAGCCAGTCACAAAAGACCACATATTGTATGATTCCATCTATATTAAATGTCCAGAGAAGACAAATCCATAGAGACAGAAAGCAGATTGGGAGTTGCCTGGAGGTGGAGGAGGTGGCTGGGGAGTGACTGCTATGGTTATGGGGTTTCTTTGGGGGATGATAAAAATGTTGTAGAACTGCTGTGGTGCTGGTGGTGGCTGCACATATCTGTAAATA